TGAAAATAGTTTTGATCACAATTTCTCTGCTCCTAAAACTCCATAACAAAATGGAGTTGTTGAAAAAATGAATAGGACTTTAAAAGAAATGGCAAGGACAATGCTTTATGAAAACAACTTGCCAAAATATTTTTAGGCTGAAGTTGTGAACATTGCAACTTACATTTTGAACAGAGTTTCTATTAGAGCTATGATTTCTAAAGCCCCTTATGAGCTTTACGAAGGAAGAAAACTTAATATTTTTCATTTATGAAGTTTTAATTCCAAATGCTTTGTTTTAAATAATGGAAAATGCGCCTTGGAAAAGTTTGATGCTAGGAGTAATGAGGCAATTTTCCTAGGCTATGCATTGAACTTTAAAGCATATAGAGTGTTTAACAAAAAAACTCTTTTTTTTTTTAAAAAAAAAGTCAATTCATATTGTTGTTGATGAAACTAATGCTGCATAAAAGAAGGTGGTGTGTAATGATGATGATGCAGATGACATTAAGAAAAAAATGGAGAAGATAAGCTTAGATGATAAAAAAAATGTTGAAGAGAGCTTGAAGGATAAAAATGATGAAAAACCACCATTAGAAGACTTGCAAAGAAATGAAGAACAATACAATGATCTTCTTAGAAGTTGGACATTTGTAAGGAATCTTCCTCAAGAACTAATCATTGGTGATCTTTCGAAAGGTATAAAAATTAAAAGGGGATTAAAAGAATCTTGTGAGTTTCTTGCATTTATATCATAAGTGGAACCAACGAACTTTAAGAAAGCTAAAAGGGAAGAGATTTGGATGATAGCTATGTAAGAAGAGTTGGGCCAATTTGAAAAAAACAAGGTTTGGTCCTTAGTTCCTAGGCTAACCATCCATCCAATTGTTGGTACAAAATGGGCCTTCAAGAACAAGATGGATGAGTTAGGAAATGCGGTGAGAAACAAGGCAAGATTAGTTGCTCAATGGTACAATAAAAAAAAAGTATTGATTATGATGAAACTTTTACCCAGGTAGAAGCTATTAGACTTTTTCTTGCCTATGCATGTTTTATGAACTATAAATTGTTTCAAATGAATGTTAAAAATACATTTCTTAATAGCTTCATACAAGAAGAAGTATATGTTGAACAGCTCCCTGGTTTTGAGATCTTTGATAAAATTGATCATATGTATAAACTTCATAAAGCCCTATATAGATTGAAACAAACTCCTAGAGCTTGGTTTGAAAGGCTTTCTAAATTTTTAATTAAAAAAAAGATATTCTAGGGGGAGTGTAGCCTTGCCAAAAGTGTTAGGGGGTAATCTCAAAAATTATTTTTACACGAATGTTTATTTTTTATTAATAAAACATAATAAAATAAAATAAAAATAATAATTAGAACATTGTGTAAATTAAAAATCACACACAATGATATTTATGTGCTTGCATCATAGGCATTTGATTTGAATTAAATAAAATATATGAAAATCCTCCAATAATGGAATTTTAAGAAAGTTATGAGTGATAATTTCTTGAAAATTTCTACATTAGAAAATTTTCTAAAATTATACCGAAAGTGTTAGAATTTAGAAAAAATTTCAAATATATATAAAGAGTTTGCATTTTTAAAAAATTAAAAAAATAAGAAATAAAAATAATTAAGGAAAACAAAATTAAACATAAAATGAAGGCTTATTTATCAAGATTAAAAATATATAACACATGATTGATTAATACGATTATTAAATGGGCATCATGGGGTGCTAATACCTTCTCCACGTATAATCGTTCTCCCAAACCTAAATCTTTTTCATCGACCGGAACCTATTATTTTAATGAACCAAAATCCAGTGCTAGCGATCAATCACATCAAAATAAAAAAAAAATTGATGATGACTCATCTTTTATGTCGAATGGTTGGGTTTTGAACTCACACGTTATAATACAATCATTTAAATTTGATCAATGCATTTGATAGTTCAATTTTAGAAACCATTTAATGGGAGATTTTAGATGAAAAAGTGTTGAAAATTTTAAGTCAATTATACTTAAAGAAAATATTTTTATTTAATTACATTAATCTTTTATATCTTTCATTTCTTTTAACTATTATCAACTAAAATTACTTATAAAATCATACTTCTCTTTTATAAAAGGTTCAATAGAAATATCTATTCTGTATTTAATTTTTAATAGCATACAAAACAATTTTTATATCATAAATTGAGTACTTAAAATTTTCAAAAATCAAAAGAAATCAATACTTAATTTTGAAGCATTAAATTTTTTCAGTTTATTTGGAATAGCTATAAAGCACATAATAAAAACGTCTTGCTTTAGCGTTGCGCCTCTTACTTGATCATGAGGTCGGCACGGAAAAGAATAAAAAGTAATTTGAAGCTGGTATCGACATAAATGGGACAATGGGTGCATCAGAGCTTTCGCTGTCATTTTCTTCTATAGGACTTTTGGCCGGAAATTCTTATACAGAAAGATAGCATTTGAGAGTAGAATACACAATAAGCTTTGTAAGCAAGGAATTAGGGATAGAAATTCAATGGTGGGGAACTCCTTTCTTGTCCACTTGGGGTCAAAGCATCTCTTAAACTAAGGGATGCGTATCCCACATGCTTTTCCTCTTTTTATGCATTCCTTGAAGCATTCCAAATAAACCATGTATGCAAGTGTAACGTGCAAGATGTCACAAATTTTGTAGTGCTATAAAGCAACCTTAATTCCATGATTAAAGGTAACTGAGAAAGCAATGTGATTTAAAGAAAGGAAATGTTATGATGAAGTTTGCAAAACTGTTTTGCATGCCAATTAATGCACCAGTAGTCAATTTAGGGAATCAATTATTCCTTGTCTTGACAGTTAAACAACAAAGTCATTCATTACTTGAAAGTTTAACTATATATTAACGCACATAATACAAAATTACGAATCGATTACAACATGATATGCAAAAAAAAAAAAGTGATGACACTAATTTTAATAAATATTATAATATATTTGAGCATTTGCGTAACTGATAAGTGTGTATATATTTCTCTTAAGAAACCAAATTCAAACCTCCTTTCCTTGTGTAAAAAAATAGTAGACTTCATTTACACTCCTTGTGATTTTAACTTTTTTCACATGCATTTTATAATTGTTTCTTTTTTCAATTAACATCTAGCGGATATCCTTTTTCTTTTCTCTAAATAATTCATGTTCTTTAAGGAGATTAGTTGTTAATTTTATCTAATAAAATTATTAAAATGCTTTCAATTTAAAATAACTTATTTGTTCTCACTTAATGGTATTTTTATAATTTAATTATGAAAATTGGACATCTCAATTTTTTGTGGGAATAAAAGGTATTCATAATGAGTTAATCGAGAAAAAAATATATTCATAGAGTGCTAATTGAGAAAAAAAGAAATTGTAAGATATTATAAGAAAAAAATTGAAATTATAAGAATATCTTAAAAGGAACCTATGCCTCGACCATATAAGATTCCTTTCACATTGCTCTTCAAAAAAAAAAAAAAATCCTTTCAGATTGAGTGGTAGTATAAATTTTTTTTTTAAATGTTTTTCCCTTGTATATTTGGAACCATCATCTGCTAGAGAGTTGAATGCAGCTGAAACTAAGGTAATGATTTTATACTTTGTGTAAAGAGAGAAGAAAAGCCTGCATGGCTATTGTAACAATCTGAAGCATTGCCTCTATATATCTGTATCCGTTCTTCTCTTATAATTTTATCAATAATTTGCTTAAAAACGTCCACCAGAATATAGGATGACTTATGGAATTTAATTTTATCAAATTCTTCATTAAATGTTGACAGTGATATTTTTCTGAGAAACCATACATTGTGAGGCTTGAAATGGAAGGTTGATGAGAACGATGAGTTGTGTTAATAGATATTATTGGTAGCTTGCACAGACCAACGATAGCTATATATTGTCGAGTCTCAAGAACAACTCTTAGCAATGGAAAAGTTATTGTGGTAATCAAATAGTTAACATCTCTGGTGATAAAGGAATAGTGGGGGGAATGGCCTCGTGCGGGGAATAGGAATGAAAATGCACTGTTAACTTGAGGTATAATCAAAATAACATATGCACAAATTCAATTGATAAAGGAAAGTGACATGTAATTGACAATGATCTCGTCCTTCGTAGTGTTTGTTTCCATGTACAGAATTCTAATTAAACCCTTCTTTTTATTGGAGAAAAGGTGAAGAAGCCTTTCCACGTTCAGTCAGGTAATCATACCCCTCGGGGGCTTTTGTGTCAACCTCTATAGTCTAAGACAAGCAGCGAAAATGAAACAGGCATGTGGCCAATACATCAAACATATTCTAATCTCCAGCTTGTAGAAACCTCAAACAGACCTGTCAAATACCTCAAGAAGTGTAATATTCTTCCCATAATAACCATTATCATCATACTCATAATTTCTTATTGACAAAAACAATGCCAACATTTATTTATATTAGTTTCTTCAAATATTTTGTGTGCTTTCATTTATTTATTTGTGAGATATGGCCCTCATGTTTCCCATCCAAAGTCATTTTCAAACATGAGCTTGCCTAGGATGTTCACCGAATATGAGTTGAAGGCAAGTTGGCAGAATCAGCCTCCTTTCTTAGAAGGAGATGCGGAAAAAGATAGGGGTTGTTAATTTCTTGCTTATGCAAGGATATGTGGAAAGCTACTGCTTAAAAAAATGTTAAATATTCCTTGAGTATCAAATTGTTCTTTAGCATTAACTTGTTAATAACTCAGTTGAGTTCACTGTATCCATTCTTGTAACTAAGTTGCATCATTCTTTTTTTAAAACGTGATTTGGTTTCATGCCATAACAAAATAGCTGAAGATGCTTAAATCTTTAAAATTATCTTGCAATCAATTCAAAATAAATTAGGGATTGTTTACTTCTTAATTAGTTGCTGCCAAGATGCCATAAAGAAATTCTTTTGTTTAATAATTAACTTTCTATATAATTACAATCACAATGAAATCACCCTAACCCCCAAAGCCCATGCATTCAAACCTAACAAATTTTACACAGAGTCTCTCCCTAGGTAGCAGCACACTTTTTTTCAACCCTCCTCCCCACAAGACATTTAGCTGTCATTAAGCCCCAAATTATTGCAAAGCTTAATTAAAATGAGGTGGGGTTTGCACCAACCTTACTTTGTACACATGCTTAATTGATATCTATTTCTTACTCCTTTTTCATTTGTCTTTAAAATCTACCTCTCGATGTCCATAACTGCATAGCCATTTCCCATATGAATAAAGCTTTTGGGCTTCCCATGTTTGCTGATCTCCTTCTGCGATTCAACATCATCAGAATCTTCTTCCAGTTCGAGCGCTTCTTCCTTTGCCAATGTTGAATACTCGACCTTTTCTCCATATAATTTAACCAAAACCAAGTAGAAAGCCATGGAAAAAGCGGTTACAACTATCAAGGTCCAACTGAATAGAATATTCACCAAAGCTTTAGCTCGGTGTAGTGCCTCATCGCTGGAGCACCTAACCACCTGGTGACCCTCTTCCAAGTGGATGAAGCAGCCTTTTGAAACCAAGGCTGGAGTCCAGAGCATGTACCCCATGACTATGAGCCACACACCTTGATACAATATACTGAGAGACCGAACAAAGCTGACCATAAAACTTTTAGGAAGCCCAATTGCCATTAGGGTGGTGGCTAAAGAAACAACTATGGCACTCTGTAGAAGCAGGTGATATTGACCCTCAACTCCCATGTGATCTGCCGAATGAAGGTGGAAGAGGAGGAGCTGTTGGGCGAAAGCTACTGCTCCCAGAAACTCTGTCAGGGCAGACTTAGCTTTGGGGTTAATTTTATCAAGGAGTAGAGCAAAAACCGCATAGGTCAAGAAAGTCATTGATATACCGGCGTGCTCAAAGTTGTGGAGATGATTTGATGGGATGGTTCCGTCGGGGTCAAACGGTTGGTGCCTTTCAGGGCCAATAAAGAGCTCCATGGAGATGGAGATGGAGGAGCCTAGCATGATGAAGAACAGCTCTAAGTACCTTAATTTTGATGAGGGGAACCATGGAGAAGATGTGTAGGAATTCGGGTGGAGAGCGTGGAGCTTGATGTGATTAAAGAGATGCCACAAACCAAGTACAAAGAAGGCTAAACCTGGTGCAACATGCCCCACTAAAGAACCCATGTCTTGCTCGATCAGTGTCCAACTGTTTTTATTTCCTGCTTGTTTTGTGTACTGGAGAAAGAGAGGAAAAAAGAGGAGGGGCTTCTTTACAATGAAGGGGGGCGGAGAGGGAAGGGGAGGGAGAGTTGAATGAAAAAAAGGAGGCAAATGGGCGAAGGGTAAGGGAGCTAGTTTTAAGGGTGGGTTGGGGTTGAATTTCTAAGGACTCTAGAGCCTTCTGTAGAAAGTTTGAACACTTATGGTGAGTTAAGGAATGAGATTAACACGTTGACCATCAAGCTATTTAGCGAACAAAGGCAGCCCCCTGTTTTCTAGAATACAGAGTTTACAACCCCCAAAAAACAAGAAAAGGCAGAAAAAAGAAATCCAAAAAACCTTCTGTAAATGACAAATTAGCCCCCGAAATGAAAAATACCGTATTGTTCCAATTTTCAAAATTCAGCCATCAAGGCATGTGTTTCATGCTTTGCTAATTTGTATCAAAGTCAGGCGTTGCCAAGAAAAGTAGGAATTTGCTATTTAGGCCGCTTTTCCATTCTTTAATGCGGCATGGAATGATTTTAATTTGATAAAAACAATTTTGATAGGCTAAAATTTACCACATACTATTGACTTAGAGATAAAAACGTCACGTAATTATATTATTATGTCACATCATCATTTATTATGATAAGTAAACATATGACGTCAATATCACATATCATAAAATGATAAATAAAATTTTAATTAACAATAGATAATTTACCTTTAATCATAATAATTTAGTTAACTTAAAATAAAATTATACAAACTTGATTGAATATAATAAGATTATAAAAGTTTATTCAAATTTTATTCGATAGTTCAAGAATTTTTTTTAAAAAAAATATTTTAGTGTTTGTGTTTCAAGGTAAATTACTTTCCTTGAAGAAGGGTTTAGTCCAAATGTTGATGAAATAGACGAGACCAAGCAAAGGAGGAGATTTCGGTAGTGAAGTCAATTATTCTTATCCAGTAGGGCCAGGTACGAAACCACAGATGTGCAATTGAAATTAACATTTGGAAATAGAGTGATGGATACTCTGCTTATCTCAACTTTTCACCATGTTTCACCCAAATGTCAATTCTCAACCAACGCAGGTTACAAGATTGGTTTTGTTGCTTTTGGAAACTGTGGATGGAGGCTTCTACTCTTTTTGCACTGCTAAGTATAGGATGCCGAAGGAACTAAGAAATCGTTAAGCTGTCCTGTCAATTAACGGGACGAGAAATCTTTACGCTGTAAAATTAATAAATTTCCCGTTAACTGCACTCAAATTTTAAAAATGTTAAATTCAAAGAGTACTTTATAAGAAATCATATATTATTTAGACCTAAATTATTATTGAAATTTTCTTTAAGACTAAACAGTTTTTTTTTTAGTCCACGGGATTTTTTTCATAGACTTGTAAAATGTTTAATATTTTAAATTTGTGAAACAAGTATACGTCTTAAGAAGTACTTTTTTGAAAAATATTTTATGTGAAAATAAACGAAAGCTAACGGAGAAAAGGAAATACCTGCACGGGAAAGAAGAAAGGGAAAAAGGAAATTTCTTCATGTTCCAATATGGGAGTTGAAAATGACTAGGTAATTGGATCGTGTGCGACTGCTGCTTGGTGTGATTATGACGGCAAGGGCGTCTAAGAAGTTGAACAATGATGCAGGAGAAAGCTTATTTGTTTGCTTATCTAAGTTGAGCTCTTGCATTGCATGATCAAATTGATAAAATATGTGATAAAAAAAAACAAAAATGATTTATTGAAGTCAGCTTCTAAGCGAAATCTGACTTTGCTCACCATTTGAATAATAAAACTGTTTTGAATTGAATTTGAATCTACAGTCGTGAGTTGCTTTTGTATTTGCTTCAGCTTGCACGCAATTTCCTTTCGCTAATCGCCACCTTTGTACCATTCTGCTCCCTTGGAAGCCTCAACTACAAGATTATAACTATGGCGTCAGTTAATTACAACTGTAAATTGTTTCTTTCTTTATGAACATTACCATTTTTTACATCTTTTTCCTAATTTCTATCTTCAATTTCTTTTCACTTCATTAACACATAAAACCATGAAACCCACTGGTTGTAACTATAATTTACTCTTCTTTTTTTCAATACTTTTGCTACTAAATGTATCCTAGTGTTACTGTATATATATATATATATAAATACGGATATATGTATAATTTTTTATTTATAAATTATTAATTTAAATAATTTTTTAATAATTATACTATTAATAAACTTTATTTAATGTATAAATTAAATTTTATTATTGGAATTACAAATTATAATAGTCAAAAGTTAATTTCAAATAACAATTTAGAAATTTAATTAAGAAAGATATTTTCTTCATCAATAAAAAGTTTAACACACATTCATGTTTTTATATTTATTAATATTATTGATACTTTTCTTCCTTGCTTTTAACTATTTGTTGTTTCTTTTCTCTTTTTTTTTTTTGGAAAAGGACCTATAAAATAAAAAAAGAAATGTCATAATTAATTTTAAAATGAATAAACAATTAAAATGTAATGTTAATTGTAAAAATAATAAATCCAAATAGTAGTAAAATAACGTATTTTATCATTTAAAAAATTTACATATTTTTTGGCGTGCTTGGCACTCAAACAGAGTTTAAGCTAATTACACACAACTTCAGCTCCACTAGCTTGAACTTGGTTTAATTTTCTTTTCTTTTCTTTTTTTGATTAACCTCAGAAAAAAAATCTAGCTATTCAATTAAGGTTGTCTTAATTCGACTTCGTTGATAACAAATTTGAATTGAGTTTAGACAAAATTTGTAAATGCATGAACTAATAACAATACCATCTATCTATATGTTTATATATATAGTATAAAAAAAGTTTAAAAAGAATTGAAAATTCAATTAAGCTTGCAAGCTGCTAAAATTGAGTATTACTGTATTCAAATTAATTAAACTCGAGTAATTTTTTTCAACTCTTTAAACCGGAACTGAAGTTTTTAACAGTTTAAATTGAATATTGAATTAATTGAATTCAAATATTACATTTATAAATGATAAAAAAAATCCTTCTCTTCTCTTCTCTAAAATTTGTAAGAGAAAATGGTGTTCTTCTCTTTTTTAAAACCTGTAAAAGAAAGTTAAACCGATTCTCTTCTCTTTTCAAAATTTATAAAAGAAATCCAATGTTCTTTTCTTCTCTAAAATCAGCAAGAAAATTTTGATAGTGTTGAAGTTTATTTACTAACAATAATAGATTCTCTCTCTTCTTTTATCACATTTTTTGAAAATTTAAAACTACTCAAAAAAAGATTTTTAGAAGAAGAATAAGAATTTGCAAACAATCAAGAATTTTTTTTTGAAAAGATAGTCAATAATTTTTTATACCACATCGTTTATTATGTAGCACTAACGTCATCAATATGACAAATGAAAATTTACGTGACATTGATTAATTTTCATTAATCAATGATTAGTGTGAGGAATTCATTTGATTCAAAATAAAAATTTAAGAGTTTATTGAAATATAATAAAAAAAATAAAAATTTAGTTGACTTTCTTTCTCCCACTAATTCACATGTTAAATATGCATTTTGATATGCAAAGGATAACCTTATATTTATTTATTAGATATGAGGATTGATCTTTAAAATTTGTCAGAAATTGTGGGATGTATTTATGGAATTAAAAATCCATGGATGCATCCGGTATTTATGAGGTACGATGTAGATATTCAATTGGTTATGGAACAAGAATGAGATCAAATATGATGATTAGTATCTTATGTATAATTATGAATAATTATATTTTCATGATCAGAGTATCTCGTTTTTTATTATTTTTTTCTGTTGAATATGCTTTTTATTCTGGCTGCCCACTATCGTCCATTATTTTATTACTCTTGCTTCAAGTATTTCCTAAATTTAATAAATAAAAAAAAATTCTTGTAGAAGCTGCTCAAATCAGAATATTGGAAGGGAGTAATATATCTGAATGGATTCTTGCCCTTTTTATTTTCTTGGGCTAGCTGTTCTCGCTTTTGTTTTCTTTGTATTCATATATATGCTCATCAAAGTTGACTGACTGATATTTTTTTTTTTTTGGGAAGAAGACTGACTGATGTTGTAACGATACAGATTAGGCAGAATATTAAGTTTCACATTTAATCAATTAATTGGCCCCCAAGAAACACATTAAAATTGAAGTCACTGGTGACGTTGGGCAGCCTTGGACCAACTTGTATAATTTAGAAAACATATTGCACAATATTTACATAAATAGTTTTCTTTGGTACAATGAAAACAATTTATAAAAAAAAAAAAACACAGAAAAGGAGCTAATTCCTTCTGGCCTAAAGATCTAAATATGGTGAAAGAAGATAGGCATCCTTCAAGAAAAGAAATAAGGGTAAGCCATTCTCCAAATTAACAACATGGGTAACTAATCATTTTAACAATATAAAGTTACATGTACTTAGATACTAATTGAAATTATAATTAAGCAGTTTAATTATTAAGGGAGTTTAGATAAAGTTCAAAAACATTTAATTTATCAATAAGTTGAGCCATATATTGTTGGATTAATTTGAGTTGAGAATTCAATCTACTAAGCTTTGGTCAAATATAATTCTCTAATTTAATTCAAACACATTGATCAAAGTCAGAGACCAACTTAGACGTTGTTGATATTGGAACCGCGCGTACAATGGGGAATGCCTTTGCCCAGGAAACCTTAGAATGGGGTCCACCAATTAATTTTTTAATTACAATTAATCAACAGAAAATGAAGTTAATGTCCCCTTCCTAGTTTCTCTGTCATCTATTTTTTATCGTCCTTTTTAACGTATAAAGATTTATTGTACAAGAAATACAAGTTGATAAATTAATTATTATTTATTACTTTTAATTATTGAAGAAAACAAAATTGCATTACTCTATTTTTTTTATGTACCAAAATAAGATGGGGTAAAACCAACTTTTGGGACCTCATCTTTCATTTGTACCCATTCAAGACCCAATGTTTCAATATTCTCTCAATTCAAGTGGGGATATGTAAAACCAAACCAAACTAATTACTCACTCAAATTAAATACGATTTGGGTAAAATGGTTCGATCTAATTAGTTTATTGAATCAATTGGTCCAAAATATTT